CAACCAAGGAACAAGCTCCCGTTTCCCCCAGCCAGACTCCTGGGAGCGATGGAAGACAAGACGGAGCCAATCCAAGATATCCTGGAGGATTACCACTGGCCTTCAGATAGTGGACAAAAGCGACCCGTAGGAACCTGAAACCAACGGAAACCACCAACAACAACCTACCAACATCCCTCGAGAGCTAAAAAACCAGACAACTGCAAAGGACAAGGACCACCCAATATACAACTTCACTCCGAAACAAGACCACAGCAACGACACGGACATCCGAATTAGAATTAGCTAAGATAGTTAAGATAATAAGTAATCAATAAAATGTAACCAACACCATCAATTAACACTGCCCTGAAGAGGCATAAGCCTATAGCAGGGCACCATAGATTGTAACATATAAACAAAATGTAAACCAGAACAAAAAGAAATAATAAACATTAATTCATTCATAGACTAGGAATCAATTTTCTTCTCCTGAGGATGCTAACTTTGTTGGCGAAACGCGCGTCGAGTGCAAAAATGGTGTTAGGGCAATTGATCTCGAAAAAAGTTATTCAACTTTCACACCAAAGGTTCCAATCTCATCGTTATTCATTGCATAATTGTTTATCGTGTTGATATGCTGCCTTAGTAAAAAAACTCGTGTTCGATCATAACAATCTTGGACTCTGATTGGCTCATTTGATGATCTGGTGTTGTTCTCTGTTTTGAAATTTGATATTCGAATTTTTCGTCCCGAAAAGGTTGGTTAGATTAGGTAACTGCGTGAACTACTGTGTAAATAAGGGGTCAAATTGAACCATAACAAATTTTCGATACAAACATTTAGTGAAACGAATGCTTTCCTAGGTAAAACTATACAAAACTAACAAGTTTGTTTTCTGATAAATTCCTTTAATATAAGTGTCAACAATGTTATGTTATATTCGAATATCGATATCAAAATAATCAAATACATATCATTTAATTTCAAATGATACGTCAAACGGCCAAATGAAATTGAGTTTTTGTGTTCAAAATTACATGATCTGATTCTATTTCAAATTATGAATATGAGACCGTTAACACTCTGTATGAACAAATATAAAAAACAATGGGGAATGTTCCTTCTGACGAAAATCAAGTAGTTTTCATAAAAGAGCTCTAAAACAACGCATAAACTTATCAGTTCAACCTTTTTCTTTAAAACACTTTTTAAATACTTGAAAAAAGAGGAATGAAATAATGCATTCAACATTTAAAGAGATTCGTTTCTGTTTCACCATTTGGCAACATCGGTTATAGCTAATGTTTCCAGCTTGCGAACCAGACTATGAGGTGCCTGTAAAAACTTGAAATAGCTAAAAACAAAGAAAATAGCTCGTTCAACCTACGAAACGAACTGCCATTGACTTTGACGATCGATCAGTAAATGAGGAGATGATTTAATATTTTCCTACCGTGTTCATGTTTCTTCATGTAGGTCACGGTTTAACATTGGCCTGATAACCGTTGCTTTGGGATATTTCCCTAAATTAAACTTATCATTCTGTTTCAAAGTTCTCTGCACGTATTGCTCATGATTCTTAGATCATCATGTGGGTGATAAAAGTTTTCCTTGCGATTCAATGTCAATCGAAGTAGAGGTTATGATGCATTTACGTGACAAAAATTTGGACGGGTATTCGAAGGATGATTGGGACGCTAATTTTATCTGACTTAAGGAAAGTCATCAATAATGACTGCATATTTTGAACTTTGAGTATTTACTATGAATACTTGGAATGTTTTTATTCTGTACAATGAGTCAATTTGAATTTTATATCATCCAAATTGTGTTTTATCAATTATGCACTTGAGTACTTTCACATTTTCTTTGTTGAAGCCAGAAAAAACAATTGATAAGTACGTGACGGGTTGCCTCAAGGTTCAGTATTTGTCACACTACTTTTAGGGGGAATCTTACTCAAGATTGGACTTACATAAAACGTTCTGTGGAATTTGAGGAAAATAACAAGATATTAATGTAGTAAATTATTTTGCAGCCAAGTGTCATCTATAGAGTTCCTAGTTAACACATCACCTTAGCATACGGTTAAAACGAGCTGCCTGAATGTCATTTGATATTGAGACTGTGGAAAGTCGTGAATCACTTCAACTATAGTTTTCAGGGAGTCACACCACAGTGGAGTCAAATCAGAGGAACTGGGTATCCATTCTCGCTACCCGGCATCCTCAACAACTTCTCTAATAGTGATTCGAAGATTCTCCATAACAATTT